TTTTAGGAACAAGGACATACAACTTTTGCATTACACTAATGTGACACTTGAACAGGTACTACTTAACAACCTCCACCCCTACTCATAAAATGTAAACCCAAGATGCATCAGAATAGACACCCAAGGGATCTGGCATGTTTTTTTTTAATCCTAGTCATTCCTCACAAAGTGTTATTTTTCAAGGTATGACCAACTTGTTTTATGCTGTAAAATTATGTTCTAAAAATGAGGAAATCAACATGCATCATCATTGCAAGATATTGGCTTAAATGCTTTTATCCAAAAAGCTTACCATTGCTGTAGGCATAAGGTGATTCTGATGCTCCATCTTGAAGACTTTCCAGGATCTCTCCCTTGCCCACATCGCTGTCTCCCACCAACAAAAACTTGAGCAGATAATCATAGCTCTTCACAGGGCTGCCCTGGGTTCCCATTCTCCCTTTCATTAGTGAAGAAGTGCAATCTGCATATTAACCACACAGCCAGACTGAAAGATGCACAATTTTGGGAGGATTTGTACAGTGGTGTCTTTCAAAGGCAGCCACAAAGCAAGGAATGATACTTCTCACAGCAGGTTCTCCATCCTTTGTGAATAATCTTCTGTCAAAATATGCTGGGGTCCTGGAGGAAAATAAAAGATATCTTACTGTACATTTTCTGCCTGATTGTTTAGAAAGTGTGAAATGCAAACAATTTTAAATTCTCAGAACTGTCAAATACAACCTAAGTGTTAGCACAATGGCTATTCTATTAGAGGGAGAAACACACACTGTACACATATACACACAAATATGGGGGTGGGGTGGGAGTAAGCCAATAACTACAAATAAATCCATCCATCCTCTTGGTTGTCATGGGCACACCAAGTCTGAAAATGGGGGGGGGGGCACCCTTCTGATGGGTAGGCAAACTGGTACCTTCCAAATCTTGTGAATGACAATTCCAGTAATCCCTAAACATTGGTCATGCTTATAGATACTACAGTCCAAACCATCTGTAGATTTACCTGCAGTTTGTAGATACAGAGACACACAAGCAGATCTCAAATTTCCTACACTGATCCCTGGTCCAGCAATTCTCAAATACTGGGGCAGGACCCCTGGGGGAACGAGAGTTGCTCAAAAAGGGGTACAAGGCTTTGAGACCCTGATCCTGCCTCCAAGCTTTTTATGTATAAAATTTACACATGTACTGAACTGAATTTAATTACATAAAACTTTCTTATATGAATGTTGTTTTCCTATAAAATGTTAAAATATGAATATACATGAATTGTATAAATGAAAAATATTTGTATTCATATACTATGTTGAGGGAGGAGATGTAAAGGGAAGTCTTAAGGGTAAAAAGTTTGAGTACCACTCCCCTAGTCCCACCTCTCATTTCAGGGAACCCTGACAAGAGTGTATGTTAAGAAATCAACTGTATTCTATTTAACTTTCCAGATCAATGAAGGTTAATTATAATTCATAAGACAATCCTGCAACACTGGCATTTCCATTTCATTTCCATTTTCCCACTCTACCAAAGATCTCACAGAGATGCAGCTAGGTCCCTTTCTTGCTAATTCATTCAAAGCTCTCACTTGCATTAGATCAAGATGTTCCCCAAAGGAGCAGCTATTCATGGGATAACCACTAAGTAGGTATAAAATTCTGTTAAAAACTCTCCAGCAACTCTTTTCAGATGTTTAAATAATAGTGGTTAAAAAGGTTAATCCCCCCCCCCCCATTCAGTGAAGGCTTACTGAGAGCTGCAAAACTGTAAATCATATCAGCCACTGCAACTACAAGGAACAGGCGGTGGCTCAAGATTAATTAACAAAGAGCAGAAGGGTGTGAACTTGTATGTATCATGCCACAGAGAAGTCCAGGAACAGAAAAGAAGGAACGTGAAGTGCTCTAATACCAAAGGTGTGGACTAAAGGGAAAAGCTACTGTGACTGAAAGAGTGTCAGGAGAGAAATGTCACACCAGAGTGAGGGTCCAAGATGTCAGACATCTGAGTCAAGCTTTAGAAAGGGAAGGGTAATGGTGAAACAGAGAAATGAGACAGGGTGTTCATTAGACATGGTGTTTTAACTAGCTAATTCTCTGTACAGTTTAACCACCCACTTAAACAAAAAGGATGTGACTAGATTTCCCACTTTTGACCTCTTTATGTATGTTTATAGGCAATAGGAAGATCATAATCTGTGTGATTGCTAGTATAAATCCCGATGCAATCTAGTATTATAGTGAAAGTCACAAAAGGTTTAGGTGAGTAAAGGGAATGGGAAAGAACTCACTAAGGCTTTGTAGGTGCTGGATAATGAAGATCATTCCAGGAATTAAGTTTCACGGTGCCTGGCCCTAAGAAAGGTACTGGAAGGAGAGCCCAGGCACAAGCAGAAAAAAAAAGACAAATGTACACAATACAAAAGAAGGGGGAATACAATACAAAAGAAAGGGGAAAGAATAGCAGTTTTAACCATTTTACTTAATAGTTGTTAAGTTAGCTATGAAGGAACTAGACAGGATTCTGGAGTGTCAGGATTTATCACTAAATACTAAAATTAGGACAGTCCATGCCATTGTATTTCCCATTTCTATGTATGGTTGCGAAAGCTGTACAGTGAAGAAAGGTGAAGGGAAGAAAATCAACTCATTTGAAATGTGGTGCTGGAGAAGAGTTCTAGGATACCATGGAATGCTAAAAAGACAAATAAACAGGTTGCAGAGGAAATCAAGCCTCTCTAGAAGCCAATATTACTAAACTGTTATTGGTGTTGTGTGCCTTCAGGTCATTTCTGATTTAAGACAACCCTAAGGTGACCCCACCATGGGATTTTCTTGGCAGAATTTGTTCAGAGGGGGTTTGCCATTGCTATGCTCTGAGGTTGAGAGCATGTGATTTGTCCAAGGTCACCCAGTGGGTATTATGGCTGAGCTGGGAATCAAACCCTGGTCTGCAGAGCTGTAGCCCAACACTCAAGTCACTATGCCATATTGGCTCTGAGACTAATGTGCTTTAGCTATATCATGAGAAGACAGGACTCACCAGAAGGAAGGTAGAAGGCAGTAGGAAAAGAGGATGACAGCATTCCAGATTGTCAGACTCCATCAAGGAAGCCACATCCCTGAATCTGCAAGCCTTGAGCAGATCTGTTGACTTGGAGGTCTCTCACTCATGGGACCACCACAAGTCAAAGTCAATTTGATGACAATTAACAACAAACAACAAGCACTTCCAAAATGGTTTGTACATATTATTACTCACTGCAAGGCAAGAGAGAATTATTATTCCCCTAGGATGCAAGCTGGAAGGCTGAGAAGAGAATGGCTTAGCTAAAACCATATGCTAGTTTTATGAAGGGTAAAGGCATATCAGCAGCTGCGACTTCCTGATTTGTACGTTGTCCTTGGTCACAATGCACCAGCAACTCGCACAGTGGTTCTCCCCACCCCTCAGACTCACAGCATTCACACATGCAACAGTCACTATGACGCTGACATGTCCCACACACCTGAAGCTGCCTTCTATCCAATATTTCCTAAAGAAAATGTTTAAACCTGAGATGGTTTTCTTGGGAAAAACTTTCTTGGGTTGCAGCCACACTGCAGAAGTAATCCAGGTTGACACCAGTTTTAACTGCCATGACTATGAAATTCTGGGAACTGTAGTTTGTTGTGGCACCAGAGCTCTCTGACAGAGAAGGCTAAATGTCTCACAAAACTAGTTCCCAGAATTTCATAACACTGAGCCATGGCAGTTAAAGTGGTGTCAAACTAGATTATTTCTGTAGTATGAATGAAGTCTAAGGAGGTCTAACTTGGCCCCTCAGTGTTGTCCTTCCACCTAAAGACCCATATTTAGGAGGCTGGAGTTCTGGAAAGTGAATGTTTGCAAATGAAAGGGCTTTTAATGAGTGAGCACTCTTTACTGGTGTGCCTTTGAAATGCCTTTAATTAAACTGTTTTAATACTGTAACTCTCTTTTTAGAAGAGCCTCTCCAAAATCACAATTGTTTATCAATCGTGCTGAGTTTGGGGTCCTGGGAGAAAGTATAGCTCTAAATCAGTGATTCCCAAACCTTGGTTTCCACATATATATGATTTTAAAAATAATACCCATTTTACATCCATATAACAAAATTATGTGTAACAGGGATTAAGGAAGAACAGGCAACCTCACATTCTAAGCTTTCTCCAGATATTTTGGACTTCAGCTCCCAGAATTCCTGACTGTTGGCTGAGCTGGTGGGGTCTTCTGGGAGTTGAAGTCCAAAACAGCTGGAAGACCAAAGTTTGGGAACCACTGCTCTAAATCAAATATACATATATAAAATTGTAAACCAAATGGGTTTAGGCTGGGGATGTACTGGGCCCAGTGGGGAATAAATAGGGGGTGCAAGCATTTGCCTTCTCCATGGCTGTTCACACCATACAAGTACTCCAGCCTGTCAACAATCAGGTCTATCAACTGGTTTGTGTGCAGAAAGGGAAGACAAACAACAGGCGAGAAGTTGCAAGTGCCCTCAACCTCATAACAAATGTGAGGCGCCCCAGTACTCAATAACAACAACAATACTGTTATTTATAATGAGTACCCAACTGTTGGGGGGCAATGAGCTTACAGTTGTAAACCGCTTAGACATCCTATAGTGTCATATGAAGCGGTATATAGATGAAGCTGCTTTGCTTTATAATGCTCTTTCTACCTAAGGGTGATAAATCAGACTGCACACGTCTGAATCATACCCAAGTTGCGAGTCAAAGATATAATGGTTTGAGTGTTGGACTATGACTCTGGAGAGCTGGGTTCAAATCCTGGCTTGTCCACGGAAACCCACTGGATGACCCTGGGCAAGTCACACTCTCTGAACCTCAGAGGATGCCAACTGCAAAGGCAAACCACCTGTGAAGAAACTTACCAAGGAAACCTTGTCATAAGGTCACCATAATTCAGAAATGACTTGAGGGGGAAAAAACACCACACACTCACACACAAACGGTAAGAGAGGCAGTGTTGTTTAGTGGTTTGAGCACTGGACTATGACTCTGGAGACCTGGGTTCGAAGCCTGGCTTGGTCATAGAGACCCACTGGGTGACTTTGGGTCAGTCACAGCCTCTCAG